CGAGAAATGACGTGAAAGAACACACTGAGGAACCAGCCATTCAGAGCGAGGGTGTCTGGTGCAAATTGGACACGAGTTGAGAGTAGATTTCATGTCCCCGAGGGTGGTTGCCGCGAGCAAAGCAATGGCGCCCAGAGGTTTCTCATATATTTGATACACATTGTCGCTCCATTATCTAGTTACAGGTATTCCGCGATATATACTAAAGCAACACAGCCAGACAGTCCGACAGAAAAGATAGGCAGACTAACCTAGGTCAACTCCCAGATGCCTCAGCATAACCACTCGACCCAGGCACATGCGCATTATTCTTCCCATCTCCCCCAGCTTCCTTCGCCTTTCCTTTCTTCCTTCTGCTCCGCTTCTTCCCTTCCGCTTCCGCGTCCACCTCATCGATTGAGAGAACAGGCTGCACATAAACCAACGCGTCCTCACTCAGATTCGCCCAAGGGCGCCCAGGGTCTCCACGCGCCCTCTCCTTTCCCTTCGCATTCCAGTCAACAATATGAGCATCAGGCCTTGGCTTCCGTATAGGTTGGGGCGAAGCAGGGCGCGAACTCTGAGGCGACGGAGAAGCAGAAGCCTTCGGCTTGATAGTCGTCGTCGTCAAGATCGTCTTTTTCGTTTTGGAGTTCAATGAGAGAACTTTATGTGTCTGAGGCTGGAGCGGAGCATGGGGGCGCGGAGTAGGCGAGGGAGCGGGAGAGGGGTATGACGAGCTCGAATTCGATGGTGTGGAGAGTGTGGGGAAGGCACCAGCCGCGGCGCGACGTGCCTCTTCGGCGCGTTCCCGGGCAAGTTGTTCTTTCAGCGTCGTATCGGCGATATCTGTATCGATTCGAACAATCAAATCACCACGTTGAGGTCCGGAAAGAAGTGGCTCCTTGCAGGATGGGCAGAGATGAGCTGGTGATGCGAGATTACAGAGAGGTATGGCACAGGAGGTACATATCGGTACGTATGGCGAGAGAGGATGAGTGCGCGCTGTGTAGAGTCATTAGTAATATAAGCGGGTCATGCAATGTGTGCTCACCTTGGCAGAAGCAGCCACCTGTTGGATCTGATGCAGTACTTGTCGATGGGTCCTGTAGGGATGTCCTAATCGCGTTCAAAGTACGCAGAGCCTTGCTCTGAGGTTCCTGGTGAGATTGCGCGTTCTTGGAGTTTCGTGGGGGTGTTGGGGAAGGTTTAGGGCGCAGACGGTCAGAAGGAACGGATGACGGCGCCACCTTCTTCGTCCACGCAGTTTGGTACATCGTACAGAGGATCGAAGATATAGCTTTCTTCGGAGCCGCATCAATGACTGATGGGTGTTGGTCTCTATCGGGGGTCGGAGTTTGAATTCATATCTTTGGAAGTTAGCGCCCAGAGACCCTGTGTGAGCTGACGGAGAATTTTTTTTAAATGATTTTTTTTGTGGATAACCTAATGTCCATATAGCTGTGGCGTACTTCTGATAGAATAAAAAGTACAAGGTCCTCGGGAGGAAAATGTTCAAGACATTGTTATAGCCCACCGCGAGGGTCGAACTCGCAGCCTTCAGATGCCACTGCCTAGTTAAGAGTCTGACGCTCTATCCGATTGAGCTAGGCGGGCGATACATTATGATTGCCGGATCAAATCCTCAGATGTGTGGAACCAATTGCCTCGGAATTATATTTGGTTGAACATGAAATAGACGCCGTTAAGTTCAGTAAACGTACCATCATGCCTGGACAGCCTTCACAAGGTATCCTTTCTCTCCATCACACTCCTTCATCCCACCACAATCAAGGCTCACACGGCAACTCGCACGGAAGTTCTCACTTCAAAGGACCCCTGGGCTCGACAACACACGACATCTATACCCATCAAAATCAAGGACACCATCAGCATCACTCACATGGTAGCAGCTCGCGAATACCCCACCATTTACACCTTAGCCACAGTGAGGACGAGTTGTTTCTGGTTTTTGGCAAAGTGGAAATCGAGGCTGGTCTTTAGGCACAAATGATGACGGGAAGAAGGAAAAACGACGCAGAGAGCTGGCTGGAAAGCCGGGTCAGGAGATGAACGACCGACGAGAGGAGTGAGTCCATCTGCCGTGTCTTTCAAGCTTTTACATCGACATTTCTGTTTACCAGTACTCGATCATTTCATGAGTCGATCTCTATGCTTCTTGACACCGCAGAGGCGTTATACAGAGACCCTGAATCTGTCCCGCTATTCAACCTCAGGTTGTTACCTCTTACCATTGAACGTGGTGCGCTACTTGCGCAGGCCGAGTGTGAAGAACGACATGGGATCAAGCGTGCCCAACACGCTTATGATGAGGAGTGCGAGCACATTGAAGAGGAATGGCGGAAAGGACGGGAACGCGTCAGGGAACGGCTGTTGGAAGGTATCGAGGAGAGAAAGCGGCGTGCACGTGAAGAAAAGGAGGGCGAGGGGCCATCGGGTAAGGAAATCACTTCTCAAGACACATCACTCTTCTTCAACTTCCGGCCTGTACGACTTGCTGATTCGCCTTCCTTCCGCAGACGCCACTGCGGACTCGTCTTCTCGTGCACACGTCACTCGCAAGCTTCGCAACAAACCAGGCACATCCCCTCCACCAACACCTCACGAATTGAGCGCTACACCACAAAACGGGTTCATCTCGTCCCTCCCAATCACATCCGGGCCATTCCTTGACCCACATTCTCTCTCCGTGGATGACTTACCCTCGCCCTTCCCACTGCGTCTGACTGCAAGCGTCCCTCCAACAGCGACTCAGGGTGCTAGTGGTGCGACAAGCGTGGGTGGTAGGCGCAAACCCAGGAATACTGCTGGTCCACAGCAACAGGCTGGGAAAATTTTGGCGCCTCTCGCACCTTATAAGGATGCGGAAGTTGAAGGCGACATGACCGAAATCAGGAGGGCGACTAAGAGACGACGTACTACGGCCATGGGACTGGGTAAGCTAGGCGTAGTATAGACCGAAACATCTCTTCGCCTCAAAAATACTGTTAGTCCCCTCGAACTGGCAAAAAGAAGTGAAACCTCACTCGGGACCGGCTTGGCAACGAAGATACGGTACCGGTACCATTATTTATTTGATTTATGCTACAAAATGGGCCTGTGCTGGTTTCAGGGCTCTTGAACCGAATACATGTCACGAAATTTCGGAGGTTGAAGTCGCGTCTCACATACGACAAGTCACGGCACTAGTGCGTGACATACGCGTCAATCACATGTTCGACGCCAAGAGAGGTGACCACAAGTGCCAAGGTTCGTTTTGCCTCTTCCCTGATCAATATGTCATAATTCAGTATCGAACTAACGTCGAACGCTCTTTTGGAACTTTGTTATCTTCACTGAGTGGCCCGGTAAACCTGTGTTTTGGCAGTTCTATCCATTCTTGTTCCAAGTTCTCGACGGTCTACAGAGCATTTTCTGATTCTGTAACCAGCTTTTGCTCAGCGCTCGGTGGTCACATTTGCTCTAGGCTGTGCTTATCGCTCCATAATGCAGCAGACATCTTCATCAGCTGTCCGTCAGACATTATCACCAGCTTTGGTTCCCATACGACCCCCTCTTCTTCTCCGATCCTGCAACATTTTAGCGTGTGCATGTTGGGTCATAAAACAGATCAAGTGGGGGATGAGTTGATTTGTATGCAACCGGCCGCGTGGATG